TATGATTCCTATTAATGGTCTAGAGAACTAAGGGTCAGAGAAAGACACATGCTGGATTTGATACATGCTGGATAAGGATTCAGTTAATCCCTGAAAGTTAAACAGTTTTTATATAAACAATTTTTTGGTTCCCCTAAATATTTCCTGTGTTTGTTATAATGCACATCAATATATAATGTTTTCCACTATAAACCAATAACATATTATAATAAATAGGTGAAATATTTAGGGGAACTAGTCATAGGAATGCTATTATCTAATGTTTACATTCACATCTTTAAAAATCCAATTAATTAACAATATATTTCTTTGCAAGTTAAATTCCCATTAGCTAGAGTCTTCCAGCCCTTATTTTCCAGTGAAACCTCCCTGTAGACTTTTCCTCTGGTTCTGACAGTAGCCAGAGGGTTAGTTATTACATTTTTTTCTTAGAACTTATTTAAGGAGAAAACAGCCTCATTAAGTAAAAAAAAAATATTTTCCTTGTAGTCAACTTCCCACTCTGAAGGGTTCAAATTACATTTCCCTCATAAGTTCTTGCTAAATACTATTGTCTCCCATGCAAATGCTATGTATATATAATATTTGATGTGTATTACTTAAGAATAATAGAAATCATACAGATTGGAATTTTATCCTGAAACCAAGTATATTTATGAAGATAGCGATTAAAGCATATGTAATTTGGCTCATTCACAGAGAGCTCCTCTATTGTCATTCAGAAAATAGTTGTACAAGTTTCCTTGGGCCAGGAGCTGAAACTCTTGCTATCATGTAGGAAAGGTGGGGAGGAGGAGGCAGATTTAGGCCTGGCCCTGTGGTGGTAGCTGCTGCTCTTACTCCATGAGATTAAGAAGGAGCTTCTATGAGGATTGAGGCTTTTGGGACAGGGTTCACGTAGAGGGCGCAAAAAAAGCTGGGTCTGGCCAATGGTCAGCTGTGAAATATTTCAAAATCTGGAGGCACATACATTATTTTTTCACGCTTGTAACAAATTCTGGAATGAAAATGCCTAGGAGATTGGAACAGGTATGGGACTGGAGACACAAACAAACTACACACTGTCATAGAGATCTACAGGCATTAAATTAAATTACAGTGGGTATGAGAAGAGCTTGAGAAAATGCTTGAAGGCAGGTAACTGGAGTTAAGTATGACTAACTCCCTTTTAAGAAAAGCAAGAGACTAAGCCAGTAGTCCCTCATCTTTTTGATTTCACAGATAAGTCACATAAAAAATTAATTTGAGAGCTGACTTCAGTAGCTGATTTTTTTTTCTTTTTAAATAAGGATAGACTTACTATAACTGTTATCATTTACCCCCACTACAACAAAAGTAGGAAATGCATAGTCTCATATTTACATACACTCCTTGAAACTAAATGTACTCAATTTTATGAAAAACTTAGAACATTGTCCTGATTTTTCTCATTTTGCTTTGACACCAATCAAGTGGTTCAGATTAGAGTTTTGGAATGCTGAAACGATCTTTAAATGTGTCCAAAATAGTACTATTCATTATTTTCAGAGATACTCATGTTGATGTTACCAGTTTACCTTAAAATATATAAGTAACTCAGACAACTATTTATTTGAAACTTCTAGGGAAAGGAAAAAGGCTTGAGCTCTGGCCTTGATGTACTTTAAAAACTAATGAATACAACATACTCTAATCACTTACAGGTAAATGTTTACTGACAGAGTACAAAGGGAACACTTTGGTACTGAAAATATGTAAACGAAATAACCGGAGGAGTTAATCAGACTATTGTTCCTTCCTTTTTAGGAAAGAGGAAACTCACCTGGCACTATTTGAGAATTATCCAGGAAAAGAAGATGTAAATAAGGCCCGCCTTTGACCTAAGGATAGGTCAAAGTCTTATTCTTGTTTGACTGGGGTCCCTATTTAAATTTTCTGCTGTCTGAGGGGTGAGCTTAGCTGCTTGGGGGTGACTGAACTATGTACCAGCCCCTTCTCATCCATTTAACTGTTGCTGTCATGGGTAATAGGGACCATGAAAGAAAAGCATGGCTGATCACCTCTTGAGCAAATGTCTTGAATTCTCATCAAAAGAGAATTCTCAGAGATTTTCAGACAGGTGATGTGGGCTGCACAGCTGCTCCCAAATCTGACTCCCATTCTTAATAAATTTGATTCATACAAGATTTTCCACAGCTCCATTTCCCAGATAAATATAAAAGTACGAGGTCTAGAATGTGGAAGAGTCTATGATCTGGCACAAGCTCGATGCATTCTGAATTTCATTTGTTGATAAAATAATTTGTTGTTAAGCTAAGAATATTTCTAGCTCCATTTTCTCAGTAAGTTCAATTTTATTTATATTTTGGAAATGACTGGAAAGTTCTAAAGACAAAGCAGGAAAAAATCTATCACCATCATCCAAATAGTTTGTTAAAGATTATTTTTTGGACTATCTAAAATCGAGGATACACAGGAAAGCAAGGGGGAATAAATATTAAATGTGATAAATTAAATATATTAATTAGAACTCTTGGTTGCACTGATGGAAAACTAAAGTCAAGGAAACAAACAAACAAAAAAATGTTTCAAATATATTAGCCATCTCATGGAAACCAAAGATGAGAATCAGGAATTGTAATAATCTAGAATTTAAATATTATCAGGATTTTCTGCATACTCTGTCATTTGATCTGAAGCCCACTCTACATGGAATAAGTAGGGAGAATGAAACAGGGTACTATTTTCAGATGTATAAAGGGTCTTAAACAGAGATGTCTACTTTACTGAATGGTGAAGAAGCAAGAGAAAATGACTTGTCCATGGTATTGAGTGTTTAGAAGAAATCTAAATCAGTTACAAGAATCAAATACTTCCCTTTAAAAAAAAAACAACAACAAACTCCTTCATGCAGGGATATCAAATGGCTGTAAAAAGTGGCTATCTGTAAAACATTAGGTCAATTATGCAATGCGTACTTAGTTACTAGTATTAATTACATACTCATTATATACAAAGTACTCTTCTAGATCCTGGGATATGGAGAGGGAGTTGCAAAAATAAATGGGCCCCTCCCTCAATGCTTTTATATGTTAGTCAACTTTAGGAGGTAAGGCTATAAGGACGAGGTCAACTCAAGAACTGGTATTTTGTTCAAATGCAATTTCTGAACTCATTCTCACCATTTCATTTAAAAAAAATTAGTTTCTTTTTTAAAAAAATATGCACTGCATCATGCATCAGCACAATTAGTGACGAACTAAATTTCCTCATTCAGGTAATTAGTTTACCTGAATTTAATTAAAGATTTTCAACTGAATTTTTTCCTGTGTCTATGTATTTCATTTGCCTTTTTAGAGATAGGCCAATAAGGAAGTGCGAAGGTAGGTTAGTTTTTATAAGTGATATAAATATACTTTCATTTATTACAACTATTATTTTGAAACCTGGTCTTTAAAAGTTGGAGGCACTGAGGGGAAAAAAGAGGTTCATGAACGAGGTTTTGGGGGAGGATACCAGCAGGTGGCGCCTGTCTCCTCTGAGATGGTACTAATACTTTATTCTCAGTCTTAAAGATCCTGATGAATTAAGGGGGACTATGCATGAGGACAGAGAAAGTGGAACAGGTCATACTTTAGTGCCTACTGTAGAAACCCCACCTTCCAGCCTGTCTGCCTGGGCCATCCCTCTCCTATGTGACCATTTAAAGTATGGCTCCCCAAAGCCAACGGTTGCATTGTTTTCTTCCTTGCCCCAGCCTTATTTCCCCAAGCCAGATACTTTAGAATAACTATCAGGTCTTGGGATAGTTGGTGGCAAAATAAAGGCCACTGCAGGTAGGAGCTGCAACTGGGGAAGGAGAGGCACCTTGTCAAATCTTCCAGCAGGCCTGCCTTTGTGGTATGTCAGTTTTGGTCTGGGCAGTATAAGAACTAGCTTGAAAGTTGACCGTCAGTTCCCATCCCTTCCCACCCTCCTTCCCTCCCCACACCATCCCCCCACACCCCCACCCAGTTCGATTTGCCGGTACCTATGCACAGGCTCAAACTGTGGCTGAGTTACTGGCTCACTGGGGGTAATTTCCTGGCTTCCTAATATCACCTAGAAGAAGTCAGCCATCACAGGCCCCTGTCCTGCACATGGCAATGTGTTCTGTCCATGGTAAAAATTACACCCATTTTGAAATTTTTTCCCTCTGTGTCTAGAAGTTTTCCATCATTGCTCATGAAATCTTCTGCCTCACTATTCTTGTTGGGCTCTTGTCCAAGAACATACGGGAATGAAGCCAGCCTCGAGTCAAAGGGCTACAAGAATCTAACTCCTCTGAAGGCATGGATGAGCTTAGACAAGTTTCTTAACTTATTCTCTAGAATGATGAAAACAGTTTTTCAGCTGATGGGGTGCCTGATTCATGAGTAATTCAGGCAGACTACCTAGACCAGCTCCTGGCTCTTTGCAAGTGCCCCAACACTAGGGGTCTCCCATTGGACTCCAGTGAGAAACCTTCCCTGGAATCAAGTCAGAAGTATTTACAAATAGAGATAACCTCTCACCTAAGTCCTCAGGATTTCCAGCTAGTTCACATCTTATCGATTGCTATCTTGCTGCAGTCTTCTCAGATCCCCTCAAACTTGTGCCCTAAAACAGTCTGGACTGCGAAGAAACCGGCAAAATAAAACAAAAACCAGAGGCGACCAACGAAACTGAAAGTGCCAGCATGAGCGTCCAGCTCCCTCCCACATCCTCACAAACAGCACCCCCCACTCCCTCACCCCCCAGCCCCCCCCCCCCCGCACCCCCTGCCTGGCTGCATGCCCCCTCACCCCGGCGTAGCCGAGGCCGGGTGGAGCACCTAGCAGACTGGGCCCTCCGGGCGGGCGGCGGTGGAAGGCCCGGGGCTGGACTGACAGCTCAGGGGAAGGAGGCGGAGGGAGCGGGCGGCGGAGGAGGGGGAGCAGCCGGGAGGAGGGAGCAGGGGCGGAGGAGACACATGCGCGCTGCCGCCGCCGCCGCCGTCCTGCTTCCCGAGGACAGGAAACCTCCGACAACGGCTGCCACCGCCGCCGAGAGCCCCGCGTGCCTGCCGCACCCTCCTCTTCTCCTTCCCGCATCTTGCCGCGGGCCCCGCGAGGACTGCTCTGCTGTCGGCCCTGACCGGAGGAAAGCCGTGACCCCCCCGCGGGAGCGGCGGGGCCGGGGGGGCCCGGGAGAAGATGGCGACGCCGGGTAGCGAGCCCCAGCCGTTTGCCCCTGCCCTTTCGGGGGCCACTCTGCACCCGCATCATCATCCCCACCACCACCACCACGGAGGCGCGGGAGGCGGCGGCGGGGCCGGGGGAGGCGGCGGCGGCAGTGGGGGCTTCAACCTGCCCTTGAATCGGGGTCTGGAGCGCGCTCTCGAGGAGGCGGCCAACTCCGGGGGTCTGAACCTCAGCGCCAGGAAACTGAAGGAATTCCCCAGGAGCGGGGCCCCGGGGCACGACCTCTCGGACACGGTGCAGGCAGGTGAGAAGGGCGTCAGCGGTGCGGGTGCTGGCTGTCGAGCCTTCCCGACGCGGGGACCGGCGCGGGGTTCGTCCTTGCCAGGGGTTCCCGGCCGGCGTTTTCCCGAGTGAGGGGCCCGCAGGAGGCGGACCCACAGAGGGCCTGTGGTCCCCCGTCGCCCGGCTCCTGGCGGCGGGGCCCGGAGCTGAGGGGCGCGGACGGTGGCGCCCGCGTCTCAGCACCCGGCTCTGCGTCGGGGCTCGAGGAAGTGGCCACCGGTCGACCCGAGCGGGCGCGCTGAGCGACCCGGTGGAAATGGCCGGGTTCAGGCGGCGGCTTCGGCTTCCTGGGCCCCACTGCGGCTGGGAACTCGGGCATCCCTGTCGGCGTCCAGGCGTCGCCCATCCAGTGTATGTGTGTGTGTGGGGGGCACCCCACACAAAGGTTGCCGCCCGTTGCCAGCCCACGGGGGTCGTCGCGTGCCTAGAGTCCCCCTCGGCCACACCGCCGAGCCACCCCGAAGCCTCGGGGCCGAGGCTTCCTCTCCCCGCGCTAGTGAGGAGAACCAGCCGCCGAGAGGGTCGCGAGTCGGGCTCAGCCACGGCTTCGCGGGCAGCGGGCTCCCCGGGTTCCCCGGGTTCCCCGCCTTCATCCGAACGCCCCCACGATTTGGTCCTATCTCCCGGGCTACCTAGGTCTCTGTAACCCGATCTCTGAGAGACCCTGAAAGAGACGGCATGGCATATTAATGCAGAAGTAATTAAAGCGAGCTGGTTTTCCTGTGTGAGCCCGACAAGTTGTAACTCGCGCCAATGAGCAGCCAGCTTTTTCAAGTTATGTCATGTGTTGACAAATTTCAGAGACGTCTGATTTCTCTTTGGTCCTTGGAGTTACACGAGTGGGGTCTAGAAACAGGAAGGAGGGCAATGGGACAGGATCCCGACAGAACTGACCAGGCTTCCCACCCTCCTGTTCAGCTCCTGTGTGTGTGTGTGTGGGGGGGGGGGGTGGTGAGGAGTAGGTTGGAGGAGTAGGCTCTGCCTTGGCAAGCGACCAAGATCTCCCAGGGCAGTGGGTGCCCGATTTTGGAGCCACTTCCCAGACCTCCTGGCTGTCATTTCTTTCTGATCCCAATGTCAGAACCCCTGGAGGCTTTAGTTTCACTGTCAGCTCCATGTCTTTCACTTTCCACTTGTGAGGACAGCTGAGGATGGGGTAAGGGACTTTGGCTTATGAGGTGGTTTTTGGGGGTAGGTTTCCTGTGTTATCTCTTCCCTCCCACTTTAATAAAAAAAAAAAAAGAAGAAGAAGAAAAAGAAGAAGAAGAAGAAGAAGAAGAAACAACATTTCCAAGGAATATTTAGAATTCAAAGTTCACTGGAAGTCAAACGGGCTTTTTGGAGTCATTAAACTTTTATTAAATTTAGATTGAGGAATAGTTTGGAATGGACAGAAAGGAGGGAATTTCCAGAGTTGAGCTGCCAACAGCTGGTGAGTCTCTTGATAGGATCACTTAGTTACATTTTCTCAAGTGGAAGTTATTCTAAGAATTGCTTGAATCATTAGTGTAAAAAAAAAAAAGAAAAAAAAAGGTTTGTTAATATCTACTTCCCTTTTGCCTGCTGTGGAGTGTACCATGAACTGTTTCATGGAATAGATGGTCATGATCACAGAAAATGGAGCTGGCATGGGCAATAGTAATAATAGGGGTTTGTATATCCAATTTGTATATTCTACTTATATTTTGCTGACCTTTGTTTCCAAAGTTAGGTGAACTTGATGTGCCTGCTCTTTTAGTGTTTCTTTGAGAACTACTTTTAAAAGCAGGAACCACATAGTGCACAGCAAGAGAAACCACTACTAAAATGTGACGGCAGCCTACTCAGTGGAAGAAGATTCTTGCAAATATATATCAGACAAAGCATTGATAATCCAATATAAACAACTCATAGAACTCAACAACCAGAACATTAAAAATGGATTAAAAATGGAAATAGAATCTAAGTGACACTTTACCAAAGAAATACAACCTACAGACATATGAAAAGATGTCTTATATCTCTTATCACGAGGGAATGCAAATCAGAACCACAGTGAGCATTTACCTCACACTGGTTGGAATGATTGCTATCAGAATGTCAAGGAATAATACATGTTGGTGAAGATGTGGTGAAAAAGGAACCCTTGGATATACATTGTTGAAGCCACTGTGGAAAACAATATGTATGTTCCTAAAAAAAATTAAAATGGAACTATCAGCCCTCCCTGGTGCAGCAGCGGGTTAAAGCACAGCACTAAGAAGCTTAAGCCAATTCCACATGAGTTTGATCCCCGCCTGCCCCAGAGGAGATCCACATGGAGTGGCAGACCTCTCCTGATCCGCCTGCTGCTCCCCTCAGCAGTGTACTTCGTCATCTGCCTGTTGTTCTCCCCGCTCTGTGTCTGGTGAATCCTCTCACCCTCCGCATCTCTGGCCTGTACCCCAGTTCTGTATAAATAAATAAATAAATCTTAAAAAAAAAAATAGAACTATCATATGATCCAGGAATCCCGCTCCTGAGTATTTACTCAAAAGATATAAAAACATGTATCTTTGAAAAGAAATATGCACTTCTATGTTCTTGCAGCAATATTCACAATAGCCAAGAAATGGAGACAATTTAAGTATATGACAGTGTTATGATGAAGATGCAGTATATACACACAATGGAATGGTACTCAACTATAAAAAAAAAATGCCTCTTGTGACAACATGGATGGACCTTGAAGTTTTTGTGCTAAGTGAAATATCTATAGCTCACAGGAGGGAGACAAATACTATATGATGTCACACATTTGTGGAAGAGAAAAAAGCAAACCAATAAACTAGGCCAAACCAAAAGCAGACTCTAAACTCTGGCACCACAATGTGGTTACTGGGGGGTAAAACAGTGTGGGAGGAACAGGTAAAGGGGACCAGTGGCTGGTAGATGGTGACTAGACGTAGTGACAAACATGTTTTGACACATATAGCTGCTTACCTCAGCCTACTTACATGATGTTGCAAACTAGTATTATCTATCTCAAGGAAAAAAAAACAAAAAGTCAGTTAAGACCTTTCAATGTGAAGTAGCACGTGCTTGAAAATATTCCTACTGTCCTCATTTGTAAGCTTTTAATTATGAACCTTATTTCTTAAAGATCAGGAAATTCTAACCAGTGAAAACTTGGTGGCCTAAAGTTAACACATCAAAAACTGCAATACTAACATGGGGTGGTTAGCACTAAAAGTTGTGGAATCTTAGGAAGACACAGAAAAGATAAAACAACCCAGTAAGGTTAAATAATATTCATTGTAGATTGTAGCTAGTGATCTCATGGCATATTTGAATGTTTATGTGTTGAAGATATGCTTCTGAGAAACAGCTTTAACTCAGGTCAAAAGCTGAGTATGACACTTCACTCTAAAGAAATATTTACTGAGTACCCTTCCTTTTTTGGAATAACCAAAATCAGAATAAAGCAAGAGTTAAAAATATCTTTCAGTTTGCACAGTGTTGACATTTCCTACATATAAAGAGTTCTGGAATTGTTGAAAGCATGCATGGTAACATATACAACGAAGATAGTGGTTTATTCCCAGCTAATAGTTTAGAAAAGAGCTTTAAAGTCAGAGTAGTGTTTGAGGATCCTTATAGACCTAAAATATTAAGTGTACATTTTCATAAATTTTATAAGGCAGGAGTGACTGGAGAGCTTTCTCTCACTGTTAAGTTGTATAGTGAAGACCACTTGGTTTGTACCTGGTAACAGTGACTCCTCTGGCAACCATCTGCTCTGGTGGCAAGTAGCTCAATTGAAAGCTGAGATATGAACACAGAAATGTAGAACCTGAGTTGCTCTGTAGATGTCTAAACTTTGGCATTCAAGTGCACACATTTTATTTATTCACAGGGAAAAAACTCTCAGGCCCTCACTTTGAGTCTGTGAATTTACTTGTACTTAAGTTGAAATAGTTTTGTTGTGAGGGTCTAGACTTTTTGCCGGTGAGAAGGGGAAGGAAGGGCTGATCCGCAGGTGGACTGTGGTGTGAAGGAGAAGAGTGAGCAAAAGAAGCACAGTTAGCTTTTGGTAAGTGTACTTTGCTCTGTGCCAAGTAATTCAACTGTTTTGTCCTGCACAGTCCTTGGTAGAAGCCTGTTCATATCCTCATTGACAGCTGGGGAGACTGTGATTTGACAAGGCAGGTCACATCCCTTCCTAGATTGTGTTCCTGTCATATTCCACCTTAGGTTGGGGTGGGGGTTGGTGACTCTCTGAGAGTCATTCAACAAACATTCATTCCACAGGTATTCACCAAACACCGCAATAGTTCCAGCCACTATTCTTGGCACCAGGGATACAGCAGGGGCCAAAAGAGACCCTTTTTATCCCTTACTATGGGGTTTTCTTTCTGGTTGGAGAAGGATGGGAAGACAAATTAAGAAATTGATTTTGCAAGATGAGTAGGGAGTTACAGATATAAAATCTTTGTTTAGAAATATACAAGCAGCCTTGTAGTAAAGGTGACTTACATGGCTTTGTACAAGAGTATGAATGATGAAACACAATATTGGGATAAAAAGAAGTACTGAAACATGTGCATCAGCAGAACAAACTTTTTTCTAGTACTGACTTATTAAGTAGTAGTATATTGGAGGAAGCAGTTAAAAAATCATTTCAGTCTTTTATGATAAAGATAAAAAGGAAAAAGGAAAAAAAAGTGTTTGCTGGTAAGAGGTCCTGGAAACCAGAAAGGAAGCCTTAAGAAAGAAATATGGCAGATGAACTTATCTAGACAAGAATCTACAGTGTGCATTACAAGTACTCACTTAGGCCCATTATGCATGGGTGCTAAATATTGTAGAAGTGGGGAATAACATGTGAATCCTTGTGGAGCTAATAGTGCTAGAAAGGCACTGAGCCCCCGGCTGCAGGTCAAGGTGAGATGCCATGTAGCACAGATAGACATCCTTTGTGAAATTCAGTTAAGCACATTAGAA